GTTTTCCCTGCCAGAAGAATGAGAAGTTTATTTCTTCGACAGATCCCAAGTTTGGCAATGTCATCTCTTGCAGGGCAACAATGTCCATCTGCAGTCTACTCAGTTCCATGTTGATGACAGCTTCTTGTGCACGCCATCTATTTCCTGCAGGTTGTCAGAAAAACCGTTGTCAGAAAAGCCAGGGCCATTTTCCATACATTCCAGGTGCCCAGCTTTAGGGCAAAAGTTTTCTTACAATTGTTGCATGGTGCACAGTTATCGATCTGCACTCAATGAAGTTAACAGACCGTGGCGAGGTACCACCTTACTGGCTGGGGGCTGCCCAGCTTAAGGTGGGCGGTATATACCTAGTGAGGTGCAATGACCTCTCCCACTGTCAGAAGTAGCCCCTGGTGTCATGCTCTACGCCAATCGAGCAAAGACTTATAACCGGTAACTGCTACTTCCTGTGTTGTTTCGACGCTGTATGCGAAGCTGGAGTGTCCTCTCCAGAGCACGAAGCCTGGGTAAAGTAATATGCAGGATAGGCTGTTACCCAAGCAGCAAATCCCCCCTGTCCACGTCACTGAAATAGTCCAATGGAAAGTCAAGAGCCAATACAACTGGTTCCAGCAACGTCACAGGAGTTGCCAGAACGACACGAACTTACTTCGGGACTCCAGCTCCGGATTTTGCCTCGAGGTTAACTTCTGAAGCCTTTTCCATAAGTGGATATAGCCACAAGGCAGTGGAGGTTTGAAATTGGAATTTTCCTTCTCCTAGATGGGTTGCCTTCCAGGCCTGACAAGCCCACCTACCCGGCTCTTACAAATAATAATACAATTATTTTGTGTTTTAGTTACAGTCACTTTAAAGAGTACATAAAGTTCATTTTGACTCATTCAAGATTAGGCATGAGAAAGCCTTTTCCTAGAATTTCCTTTGATCCACCTGTCTCCTCATTTGACCTTATGGACTGGATTCTCCTGAGCAGTACCCACAAAGGCCAATGAAAATGAAAATCTATTTAAAGAAGTTTAAATTTTAAACAAGAAAGTTATAGGGTGTGAACTACTGACAACACATTTCTGGGTATACTGACAATCAGAATTGCTTTTGAATCAGGTTTAACATGTTTTTAATTTAAAATTTAAATGTGACTACATAACACATGCAGAAACGTAGATTTTTTTGCCCAGGAACTGTGATTTTTTTTTTTTTTTTAAAGCAAAACTGGGGTATTTTACTGGGCTGGCAGATGATCACTTATTTTTAACAGGGCAGGACATATTCTCAATCATCCCAGAGTGCAGGATGCATAATAATGGGCTTAAGCAACGGAAAGCTAGATTTAGGTTGAATATCAGGAAAAACTTCTTAACTGTTAGAGCAGTATGACAATGGAACCAACAACCTCGGGAGGTGGTGAGCACTCCAGTCCTGGAGGCATTCAAGAGGAAGTTGGACAACCATCTGTCAGATCTGCTTTGATTTGGATTCCTGCATTGAGCAGGGGGTTGGATTCAATGGCCGTATAGCCCACCCCAACTCAGTTCTTCTATAATTCTATGATTAATGTGGATGTGAAACTGGTTTATTTTTAATCAGTTAATATGTGAATGCCTCTGTCAATAGAAATTGTATCTGTTGCAATGCGCTGGCTGCCTCCCACAGCTACTAGCTACTACTGCTGTGGGGTTGTTTTTAATTTTTTTTAAAATTGCTTTCCAAATAGGATAGTGATAGTCTGACATGACAATGGAATTTTAGAGCCAGCAGAGAGATAAAGGGGAAACGCACTCCCTTCCTCCTTTCCAAGCCTACTTGGAATGAAATAATGATAATATAAAAACAACCCAATAGCAGTAGCAGTGAATGGCTGTGGGAGGCAGCCAGCACAAGGGTGGGCAGGCACAGGACAAAGCCTCAAATGCAATTCTAAATAGACTTAGAAAAATCTAAACATGGTCTGCAAAAATTTTAATGAAATGATTTGAAATCTCACATGTATTTTCCCAAAGTGGTTTTAAGGCCCTACTTTATATTGGAAGTAATAATTTTCAAAGTGATTTATAAACCACGCACAATGATACAAAAACCATGTGACTATAAATCAATTTAAATACATTGGAGCTGAAATGGATACCCATTAGCACTGTAACCATGCCTTCTGACTGGGTAATTGTTGGAAGCATGGATTTATGGCAATTGTAGTTTCTTTTCTTTCTTTCTTGGCATCAGGAGACCTGTCTAACATTGCCCAATCAGCCCTTTGTCCATCATGGGCAAAGTGTATACAAGTAATCTGTCTGAAACTGTCAACTTAGATCATTACCTTCAGGGATAAAAACAAATTGCTTTTCAATCTAAAACATCCCCATTGTGTTCTGTTGGCCACTTTAGCAGAGAAAAATACTGACTCCAGCAGCGAAAAATTGTTTACTGCATTCATTCACTTGAAAGGGACTTCCGATTCTGTTTTGAGGAAGCTATTGTGGGATGCTTTTTAAAAAGCCTTCCATGGAATAAGATTGGTTTGTCTTGTCCATGACTTGCACATCCAAACAAGTCTTAAAATCCCCTGTGGCTGCCCAAGCTTCCTGTTAAGCTGGCAGCAGGGCAGCTTCTTTTAGGAACAGGAAGCTTCAGCAGAGCTTGGCCTAGCTGGGTCATAAAGCCTTCCAGTATAGGCCTTGATCCCAGGTGAGTCGCATCTAGGGCTGCCAGTCGTCCGGCAAAAAGGAGGACATGTCCTCCTTTTTAGCCTAATGTCCTCCATCTGGCAGGCAAAGATAAAAACCTTTAAAATATCCAGCTTTTGTATATTTTATGTTATAATTTTGGATGGGAGGCAGAGAGATGGAAGGACACCTATAGTGTAGGTTCAAGTTGCCTTAATAATTTTCAAAAGAATTATGTTGAATTTCGATTCAAAACATTGCTAACCTCCGAAATAAAGGATGTTAGCTATTGTAAAAGCTACTTTCTAATCTTGGCAATCATGAAAATTTGCAATATATTTTAGGAGCGCTTAGTCCTTTGTTTAAAATGACTGACATGCATAATTGTAAGTGCCTAAAGGCAGGAGACAGCACATTAGAATATACTGAAGAGCATGTGCCTTTTTAAAGGAATATGAAAGTGCAGTTGTTTAAATAGTGCTCTGGTTAGCAGGGTGTGCATAAATATTGTATTTTGAGGATCAGCCTTCTCCTAGCCTATCTTTTTTTTTATCCAATGGTAGACTTGCATAAAATCTTGGGTTTTTTTTCTCCTCGAGGGCAGGATAAAGATTGGCATTGTACTCGGAATATGTCAGCTCTCCCCACCACCACAGGCTTCAAGACTATTTCTCTGTCCTTTGTGTCTTTTTAAAACAACATTTAACTTATAAGCAGGAGATTGCTTTTCTTCCAACTCTCAAGTCACAAAAGTTTACTCCTATCGATTAATTTAAACCAGATGTGTTTGCTGCTTAGAATGATGGCAAAGAATGTCTAGCAGCTTCTAGCTGCCGTATGCCAACTCTTTGCATTAGCAAAGCATTGTTGAGACAAGTAGAGTCAATGGTTCTCTTGCTCTTCTCCTGGATCCCTCCAAGCCCCCAATTCTCAAATAGCACCCCCACCCCCAGGGGTCATAAAGAAATCCTGGGGAGGTGTGGGACAACACTCTAAGATTATTGTAAGAAAATGTGTTTTTATACTTTAATGCAATATTTTCAACTTTCATAGCACACTATTTGTTTTTTTTGATTTGTAACAGGAGTATTTCAGTTGGTGGGGAAACCCAAGTACAAAGTTATCAAAGTTTTCCAAACTGTCTAGCCTAGTTTTTTAAATATTTCAGACTGTCCAGTCATGAGAGCAGAACTGGATGAGAAATACAGATCATTCAGCATTTCTTCTTGCTTCATATTATGCTACGGAATTCCAAGGATCAGAGTGTTAGTGACATATTTAAAGAAGCACTTCTTTGTACATGCTTTGTTTGTAAATATGTTTGTAATAATCTATCAAATTAATTGGCAGACATTAAATTTATTTGTGAATCAGGAAAATCACATTGGTTTGGCCATAAAAAGGGAAGCTATTTGTGGTTATCTTCAACTTAAAATATTTCACAAAAAGCCAAAATGAGGCATGATACTGAAAAGTTTGGGAACTGTTGCTCTAAGCATACTCATGAAAAGACATTGAAAGTATAAGAAGGTACATCTGTCAAACGCTTTTCCAGCAGTTTTTGACTGTAGAAACCAGTTATTGTTTCATAGTAACCATGTTTGTTTGTAGAACGGACTGCGTTTCTCAATACAAGTCACCTTTTTTTAACAGCTTGCAAAAATTTGATAGGAAGTAAATCAAAGCAGTTTTAACACTCCTCACCACTCAAACCAATAACATATGCATGGAGATATGAATGAAACTGGTGCCCTCTAGATGTATGCTTGGCATCTTAAAACTGAGCCACCCAGGAAGTAAGATGTAAGGTGTATTTGTAAGATATATTAACTAATCATTACCCTAACATACTAAAAAAGGAGAAAAAGCAATGAGCAGCTTGGAGGCAGAAAATAGACAAGAGCTTCCAATCTGCAGGGGGGAAAATACACAGCAGAAAAAATAATGCACTTTTAAAAAAACCTCTTTGTACTGGAGACACTCAGACGTCAAGACACTTTGCACAATCTCCCTTCCTCTTGCCCCAGTAAGCAAGCAGAACTGCCAACAGCTATAATATGAAGGCTCCAGTGTAGTTCTGCCGCTGTCAATCTTGCTTCCTCCCCCCACCCCCACGACTGCATCATTTGGTCTCTCTTCTAAAAGGACTGCAAGATCAGGCTCCCATCCAGCACTGTAAGGGCAAGGGGCACTATCCAATAAGTGTAAGCAGACAATCGAATACAAAGAAGTAGAAAAAGTGGAGACAATCAAATACAAAGAAGTAGAAAAAGTGGAGCACAAATGACGGGTCCCTGTTTTTTGGTTTTCTTAATTAAAAAAACTGACTGGGAAGATTTCCAATCAAATACAAGTATGCTGCTTTAATGAGAGCAGATCTGATATCTGTGAACATTTTTGTTAAAAGTTACTATACATTATACCCAAAGCCTCAGTGGACTGTTTGGGCTCAGAGAAGTAGCAGACAATGACATTGCAGGGCACCTGGACAGACTGCACTGAAGCATGACTGAGAGTCTGGGCATTTTTCCTTCTTCCAAGAGTAAAGCCATTCAACTGGACTGCTGCTGGGTTGCTGTGAAGCAAAATGCAGATGTTCCGGAGCAAAGGGATGACAAGGAGAGTGTCTGGCGTTCCTTCTGATTTCCACTTTTGCCAGTATTCAAGGTGAAATTCTACAAGGCCTTTCAATAACCACACAGGTTCCAAATAATGCTGAAACCTTCACTCCTTGGACAATGTAGAAACAGGACTGAAAGAAAAATATGATCCAAGATAAAATGACATTCTTTAACCTGCCATAATGTCTATCACAGGACAGCTGTCCCTTCGAGAATTCTGTTCCACCCTCTCCCACCAGCCTCTAGTCCACTGTCTTGAGATGTAAGTGTCCAAACATCATGGCCTAGTGTGCCCACAGAGATGTCCAAATCTGTACAAGAAGGGCTCTCATCGGCGCCTGAATGCCCGTGATATTCTCCAGGCATTTGGCTCTTCGTAGCGATTGTAAAGAGGCTCCAAGCGTTGCTGCTTCTTCTGCTTGCTGAGCTTTGTGGGGTCGGAGACCTTGAAGAAGGCTGGGGCAAACTCCACCAGCCAACGGGGATCAATGGTGGTGACTTCCCGCATATACTCCTTGGTTGTCAGCACTAACTCATGATAGACCACCCTGCGGGGAGAAGACAAAAAAGGGGATACGTGGATTAGGAGCCCACCTTCTCCTTAAATGGAGCAGTTCCTCCAGTCTTACTCTATAAAATCTCACGAATCTCATGTAAAAACAGTTTTCTGCACAAACGGTAACTATAGCAATAGCATTAAGTCTAACATCAGCAGAGCTTATTTGCTCTCAAAGCATAATACTAAGGGCTGAACTCCTTTCCCCTCGAAATCTGGCACCCAAGTACACCAGCAAGAAGCACATTTTAAAACCTTTCCTCATGGAATTACGTATCCACAAAAGAAAAGAGCACAGATTTTCTGAAAATTTTATGGCCCAATTTTGTTTAAAAATAAACTCTGAATATCTCACTCGTGACAGAGACAAGATCTGATTTATTTTGGAATGAGCACGGCTGGTGTACCAGACTGTGCAAAGCTAGCTGTGGCTGCCACCAAGCATCCAGGAACAAAGCTGGGTCCAGAAGCACTGCCAAGCCACAGCCCTGGTCTCTGAAGAAGAGTGCAGCTGCAGGCAGGACACACACACACACCTCCTCAGCTCACTCACTGACTGAGAAGACTCCCATCCTACCTGCTCCTCAAAAACCCAATCTTGAGAATGAAGAGCAGGTCCCTGTAGTACTGGGGTTTTTTGAAAGAAGGAAGTTGACACCTAATTTTTCCCTTTCTAGCAGATGGTTCTAAAAAATTTAGAACAAGTCAGAATCTCTCCCTTGAAATTTGTCAATCATCTGGATTAAGCTCAGGATCTCCTCCTTTACTTTCAATTAGACATGGGATACGAATTAGATTGGGATACAAATAGAACCCCCCCCCCCCCCCGAATCTGCCCGTCCACTTATCACTCTCCGTGGAGCATGCCCAGCTGTCACCAGTTCCACAGTGCCAATTGCGGAAGTAGCTCAGCTGAAGCTTTCTCTCCTCTCCACACAGCCGACCACTCCGGCGAGGAGGCGGGACGACGAGTCTCCCTGCTCAGCAGCTCAGTGGTCGGCTGCGTGGAGAGGCGGGGAAGCACCAGCCAAGCTACTTCCATAAGTGTACTGGTGGGTTCTTGGGGGGGGGGATACGAATACAAATATCCCATGTCTGCTTTCAATTGTACCATAACATAATATAGCAAGAGGGCTGGAAAATTCCGGCAGGTGTAGTCCAAAAAGAGTAACTTTTCCAAGATCTAGCAATAATCATTTAGGCATACCCAAAAGGTTAAAGTGAATATAATTTTAAAAGTACTGTATTCAGATCCTGTATGATACTGCTCTGTTTGGGCAAGCCAAGGATCGCCTGACTGCCAGAGCTACCAACCCACCCCTGCCCACTGTGCAAATCCTCACCATAAGGACTCAGGTCTCTGCCTGTCACTTTCTAGTTCTATTCCAATCTCGCTACGGCATCACCACCAACCCCTTACCATTCAGGCTGACGGTTGAAGAGGGCACTTGAAGGGTGAATGTACACCACCTGCTGATCGATCAAGGTCCGGTAGCCCTCCTGGGGGTCCTTCTTTGCAGCATTCCGGAAGAAACCACTGCAAATGGCTTTCTGGACTCGTACCGTTGCTTTCCCACATGACACCACATCCAGCTTGTGCCTGCCAAAAAAGAGCAGAGGGAGAGTTTAGAGCATGGGCTACATATGATGCAGGTCTCCATGGCCTCTGCCCACATGCCAGTTAAGTCTGTTCTCTCCCAAAAAAGAGGCTCAACCCAACAGCTTATTGCCATTAGTGGTTTTTTTTTTTTACAGAGAGCAGTGCAGCTAACTTTAAACACTACATTTAGCAATTCAGAGTGGAATCTACCATCAGAAGAAAATTCTCTGCCATCAGAAGGGGAGCTGAATTGTATATTCTGTCCCTGACATTCGCTATAGGATGCCTATAATTTGGCCTCGTTTAACTCTTTCACAAAGTATATCTTATCCCTGCATATTTACTAGTGAATCATTCAATCCGTAATCATTCAATCTCCCACTAGGGATTGGACTGCAGATATGATAGCCATTAACATCTGGACTGATTATTTTCCTACACTCTACTATTTGGGGGTCACAAACAGTTACACAAAACTCAGAAATTTGCATGCTTTTATTACTATTTGGTTGGTTCTAATAAAGCTATTGCCTGCCTGTAGCTTTCCCCTGCCTTGATCAATATAGCTATCTTGTTATTTTTAAATTCCAACATTACAAGATTTTCAGTGGATCTACTTTTTCTATCACCCTAGTACTTCATGGGAAAAGTAACTTAAGCAATGCCTCCTACTGTGAGCACATTCCTAACCCATCAGGGTTCTGGAAAGCCAAACTGAGCTGCGCATTACTAAACAAAGAATTGAGGCACTGCTACATTTTCAAAAAGTGGTTTCTAACTGCCTTGAACAGAATAAGCTTCAGATGGAACAGCTTAACCGGGATTACCTGGGAGGACAGCCCTGGAGGCTGGATTTATTATTTTAATTTTTTGTTAACTATGTTAAATATTCTATAGGTTTTTGCCTGAAAAGCAAGACACAATTTAAAAATAATTAAGAGCTACGCAGGAGTTGACCTACCAGAACATGGCAATATTGGTCACTAAGAATCCCAGATATACACCTCAGCAAACACCTCTCTTGCTTTTCCCTTTTCCTTCTAATCCCTTGATCTAATTATTTCAGATTACTTTTGATCATTGTTGGTATCGAAGGCATACCAAAGAATGGCTAAAACCATAAGGAAACAGTAGGCATTCAGTGGAGTCTCGACTTACGGTCGGCTCCACTTACGTACTTTTCCACCTATGGACTTCTCCGGCCGCAAAGTTTAACTTCGACTTGCGGCTGGAGAATCGACCTATGGACCAGAAGGGGGAGGCGGGGAAAGCGCCAAATTTGAATTTGGCACTTTCCCTGCCTCCCCTTTCCGGTCTGTAGGTCAATTTTCCGGCCGCAAGTTGAAATGAAACTTTGCGGCCGGGGATGTCCGTAGGTCGAAAAGTACGTAAGTGGAGCCGTCCGTAAGTCGAGACTCCACTGTAATTGCATTTGCTTTTACATTACTTCATCCCTGTTATCCACCATGCTTCTTTGGTCAAAAAGCAGGATATAAATTCAATAAGCCAATATATCATCTTACTGCATGGCTTGTCTAGTAGCTACAATATTATCTTTTCTGGTGACAAATGAAGA